GCTTCCTATCTTTCTGCTACTTAATTAAGTAAGACCTTGCATTTAATATCTGCCTTTTGATTTGTTCCTAGTAATGAGAAGGAAAAGGAATGATACAGCCCCTGCTGCAGGGATTGCTCCTGGTGAGTGTAACTTTTCATCCATTGCTGTTGACTCCCTGGTGTCATGTGCTGAGGAGTGTTCTGAAGCTATGTTTGGGTCCAGGAGTAGAATGAAGAGTATTTAGTGACCGTGTGGCTGTGGAGATGGCAGCTTATATATGTGTATATTATCACTGTAATGGTAGTTATTAAACATTGTGTCCGAAACCCGTTTTCAAGACCATAGGTGTTCTAGTGTGCTGCAATATTACATCATGAAATAATATTATTAACCATCCTATTTATGCATATAATTTTTCTTATGCAAAGAAAGAGAACAGGAGATCACATGGCTAAAGTGTCAGCAAAGCTGGGATTTCAACCCAAATGGATGGACTTCAGAAAGTATTATCTTTTACTTGGTCGAGAAGTCATTTTTGTCATTTGTTTGATAAGGGTCCTGCTGAATAGCCCAGGATGGCCTTGTATTGAACATTCTCTCTTCCTTAGTGTCTTAAATGGATAACAGGCATATGCTTGGATTCATGAAGGAACTATTTTTAGTTTCCATTAGTAGGAAAATTCCACGGGTATATTCGGGATTTTTTTTCCAACTTAGAAGACTAGGCTATTTTACTTAGCACAATGTCCTTAGGGTTAGTCATGGTGTAGCACATGCCATACTTTCCTCCTTTGTCTGGCAGAGTAAGATGGATGTGGTGGTGGGCTCCTGTAATCCCATCACTTAGGTGTCAGAGGCAGAAAGACTGTTGAAAGTTTCAGGCTATCCTTAATACATAACAAGTCCCAGATCAGCCAGGGGCAAATAGTAACACCCTGTCTCAAAAACAACAACAAATACAAACACAGACAAAAATGAAGAAGAGAAAGAAGAGGTGGAGGAGAACTTAAAAACATGGAAAAGAGTTGGGCAGTGGTGGCACATGCCTTTAGTCCCAGCACTTGAGAGGGAGAGGCAGGCAGATCTCTGAGTTCGAAGCTGGTCTACACAGAGAAAAGCTGTCTCGAAAAAAAAAAACACCCACAACCAAACAACCAAAGGAATATTGTTAGCCTGTAATACAGAAGATTTTGGAGTGCATTTAACTTTCACAGAGCCTTTCTCCACTCTTTGGTAAACATAGTTTGAAGGCTAAGGTCCCAGAAAACTCAGTGGCCATTGCAGCTGAGAGCCATTAAGGTAATTGTCTCTGGAATCAAGGAATGGGTTTCAAGGGCACAGAGAATAGGTTTAAATGAGACGCTTATTGTAGATCCTCAGGTTGTAGCTGAAGACAGAGTTTGGGAAGAGATCCTTGGGATGGGGTGCCATCGTGCTACCAGTCTGGGGGCTTTATTAAGGACTTGTAGCAGAAACCGTGGTGCCTCCTCTCAGCACTAGCCCCACATTTAGGCATGGCTTCCAGGCAAGAGGTGACAAGAAGTAGGGAACCAGAACTTTCTACTGGCATCCCAGGAAGGACATTCTTGTAATGTGCTGCTTTGGGGTCCCAGACTTACTTGAGTAATTTCTATTTTCTGTTCCTCAGGACATATGGTAAATCTTATCATCTCTTATGTATGAATTTACAAATAAACCATATATTTGCCTAGTATTTGTATTTATTATGTGCATGTGCTTGTGTTTGCATGTATGCTCCACAGGGCCACCATTGGGGTCCATGGATTGAACTCAAGTCAGCAGGCTTGGTGGCAGATAGATACCTTCTACTAGCTGAGTCATTTTGCTGGCCTGTTTTCATTTTCTCTACAAAAGCACTGACAGATGTCGCCCAATAAGCAAATGTGTCTTTGAGGTTGTTGACAGATTTAGGGTCCCAGGCTCTGGCTCTCCCAAAGCCAGATTTGCCTATTTACCCTCAACATATCAATTTGAAGAGTCAAATTAATAGTGAACAGCAGAAAGATTTACTCAGTGTGTCAGTGTTGGGAATTGGAGCAGAGAGACCCAGGGATCTCTCCAAGTGCATCTTTGGGGTCCTGGCAAGAGGGTTTTATGAATAGTTCAGGGTTGCAAAGAAACAGATCACTATTCCAACTGAATTGTTTGGACAAGACAGACTTTTCTCTTGATCAAGAGAGTCTGTTTGATCTTCAGAAGGAACACATTTAGACAGAAAGTGCATTTGGTTTTTATTCTAACTCATGATGATTGTGTTTCCTCCATTGGCTGGGGTCTGAACTCACAATCTTATTCAGCTGACTTAGTCTGAAAAAAAAAAAAATAGGCCCACAGGAAGTGAAGGAGTAAGGGGAAAGGGAATCACTGCTTCAAGGAGGGTCACTTCTCCAGGCCACATGGAGCAGTGGGTTTTGTGTAAACAAAGGTTTTGCTGTGTGTGTGTGTGTGTGTGTGTGTGTGTGTGTGTGTGTGTGTGTGTGGTGGGGGGGTGGGGGGAGGGAGCAGGGTGGGAAGATGAAAATATCTGCATAAAAGTCTTACAAGGTGGGAGAAACAAGGCGTGGTCCTGTTTGCTTCTGTCTAGTTTTCATTGTCCTTCAAGGACAACTTGCAAATCTCTCCTGGAGAAAAAGTTCCTCCTTTGACTGTCTCCATCTTTTCTTTTCTTTGGAGGAGCTTGCTGGGAGTACTGTATAATTTCTTGGGGTCCCTTTCTCAGTAGTCTGATAGCCAAAGGAAGAAATGTAAGGCAAGCTACGAGTTGTAAAGGAACCCTGAATGTAGATTAGGATATGCTGCTTTAGTCTTGTGAGTGGTTCCAGTGCCTCAGATCTCAGGCTCCACTGGCATTTTAAGTGAAGTTGGCCTCTTCTGTAACAACTGATAAGAAGCTGAACAAGCAACAGGCTACAGAGGTGGACAGCTGGAGTGGGTGAGAAGAGGAATACAGCCGTGGACTTGGAGGGAAGTGGTAGACCTGGGAAGGATGTCTTAGGAAAAGGCTAGCTTCTTCATTCAGTTCACCCAACAGCTTCCATAGAGTGCTTTGCTAACGAAGAGCGTGGTAAGTTATTAAACGCATTACTTGTTTAAGAGACTTTTAGCATACTGCTGGCATGCAAAGCGAACAAGGCAGGTCTAATTACAGCGGTGGATAGCTAAGCCTTGCAGTAGCCAGTCTCTCTGGTTGGAATGAAACAACTATGGGGACATTTGTGCTCTTCTCTTTGGTGACCAGACTATTGAAACTAGAATCTCTCCAGGAACATCTTGCAGGGAACTGAAACAGTTGAAACAATGGTGTGTCCAGGAATTGTCTTCTAGAGAAAGATTAAGAATTTTCTGGATGACCTTGCACAAGAGACCTGGAGCTGAGACAGTGGTGGGTCAGGAACCACACCTTGACCTGCTTGCCTTCTATTCTAACCCTATCCTTTTGTCCAACAGGGAAGACAGACTGGTGTGTGTGTGTGTGTGTGTGTGTGTGTGTGTGTGTGTGTGTGTGATTAGACCTCTTTGTTCCTCTTTCCTATGTAGTTAACTACATTAGGTAAATCTCTTCTTTTTCTTTTCATTATTAGTTCGGCTTTTAAAATTGGCTTCTTGAGGATGGATGACTGAATGTGGCAGGGGTTGAACCCCAAGACTGTGGCTTTGAATTCAAAATCAGCTTAGTTGAAATGTTTTAATGCTCCAAGATGCTTTAGGTTGGGAAACAAGATCTGGACTCTGCATTTAAAGCCTCTCTTTAATCTCCTGGTGGCTGCAGTGGGGGTGGGGTGGGGTAGGCTTGGATTGTTTGTTAATTGTTACTAGTTCTTGCTAGGCAGTTTAGAGGTGGGTGTTCTTTCCCATCTCTTCTTTCTTCAAATGGATTTAGAGAATTTACTGGTGTTGAGCAACCGGTAACCACAGGTCAAAGCATGCCTCATGATCTGGTTTCCTGGAGTCTGCACAGGTTAGTCAAGGTTGGAAAGTAACGTGGTTAACAATTTCAAATACAGTTCGTTTCTTTAGCCCTGAACATTTTCTTTTGCGAAATAATGCAAAACACAGACCAAAAGCTTAAGAGAAAACGGAGCGGGGGGGGGGGGGGGGGGGAATCCCATGCATTTCAGGTAGCATTTTTCAAAGTAAAATAGTTCTGTCACAGGACAGTGGTGGTGCATGCCTTTAATTCCAGCACTTGGGAGGCAGAAGCAGGCGGATCTCTGTGAGTTCGAGGCCATCCTGCTCTACAAAGGGAATTCCAGGACAGGTTACAGTGCAATGTAGACAAACCCTGTTTTGGGAAAAAAAAAAGTTTCTGTCATATCTTATAATTCCTTTACAATTTTTTGTAGGTGATTGTGGAGTGCTGCTAGAGTGAAAAAAAAGGGGTGGTGGTGGTGGAGGGCTCTAAAGCCTGGTTTGGTAGCACACACCTTTTAATTACAGAGGTAGAGGGATTTCGAGTTCGAGGTCAGCCTTTTCTAATGAGCTTTCCAGGACAGCCAGGGCAGTTACACAGAGAAACCCTAGAAACCCTGTCTGGAACAAAGCAAACCGGTGCAGGTAGCTCTGTAAATTCTCATGGTAAATTTGAATTCCATATTCAACCAGTAATTAACACACACACACACACACACACACACACACACACACACACACACTTAGCATTCTCTGATATTGCAAAGTTCAATACTCAAACGCAGCAAAATGAAATTCCAATGAAACCGGGTATCCTGTTGTTTTTTTCTTAATGTATCTGCCTCACTTAGACACAATCAGGTGCCTTCTGTGTTATAGGCAACAGGTTGTATTCAAAGACATGTGTAGAGAAAAACAAAATGAAAATGAAATTTCCTTAGTGCAACAATTACTAATGAGTAAAAACCCAAAGACTTTCTTCCTTCCCTCCTTGTTTTTGAAGGCAGAACTCTTTTAGCTTCAGATACTACTCCTAAAAGCCCTTCCGCGCTTGGAAATCAGGTTGTGCAGCTTGGTAATCAGGCTGCCAGTCTTCCCTGTGGGTTACTCAGTAAACTGGCTCCGCCCAGCTGCTGCTCTGCGATACCGGCTAGAGCCAAGGCGGAAGTCGGTGAGGCTGCCTCTGCCCAAGGTAAGAGCTCCGCTCTGTTTAGTTTTCTGTATCAAGACTCTTGGCAAAGCGTGTAAAAATTGAAGCGAGCTGGGCGACCGCGGTGAGCGTCGGCTCCTGCGCCGATAGGGGCAGTCAGGAGGCAGAATGGGGGCTGCGCTCGCCTGCAGGGTTTTCTTGATCTCCCTAACCATTTAAGATCGTATGCCTCGTGACTTTGAGTGACCAGCCCTAATCCCAAGAACGCGGTGGTTGCATGGACAGAGAAGTATGCGGGTCTGCAAAGTACTGACTTTGTGCGCCGTAAAAAAAAAAAATTGAACAACTGGCAACTTGGTTTTTACATTTAAACCTAATGTCATTGCCCATGTGAAGGTCTCTCTCTCTCTCTGCCTGTCTCTGTCTCTCTCTCGTCCCTGCTGCCTCTTTTCTTTTTCTTTCCACTTTTGTCATGGTGCCTAAGGTCAAAGGGGAAATTTCAACTCGTAAATGTGGTATCGGGAATGTGTCTTAACACAGCTAAACTTTTAAAACTACATTCTTCCTTTCCTGAATTAAAAGAAAAAAAAAAGTAGCGTGACTCTTAATACTTTGCTAATTGGCAGGTGGGATTTATCTATGGACTTATTGGTTACAAAGCTAGAATTTTTGGAGGATGGTTTTGTTCAGCAAGGTTTTAGTAGTCATTTAGCGGGCAAATGAAATCTTTTTTGCTCTGTCTTTAGTGTCACACCTCTCTGTTCATGGAATGTCAGACTCTCTTGAAATTCAGTTTATAAAAGCATTGAAGCATGCCTTTTGTTGTGTATTGGGGAGGCAGAGGCAGTCGAATCTCTGAGTTTGAGGCCAGCCTGATGTACAGAGTGAGTTCCAGGACAGCTAGGGGATACAGAAACAGGTCTAGAAAAACAAATAAACAAACAAAACAAAAGTCTGTCTTGTGCATGCAGTCTTAGCCCTGTGAGTTATGTGTACAACGGCTCTGTCATGTCCGGCCAATACTATTGTGATGTGGACAGTCCACACCACCTCTGGCTCTTAAAATCTTTGTTATATTCCAGACCCCAAAGTCTTTGGGGAAAGTGGTGAGATATAGATGTCCCATTTAGTGATGAGCCCTCCACGGTCTTTTATTCTCTGCAGAGTGGCCGGCTGTGTGTCTCTGTATCAATCACCACCCATTGCAAATAGAAGTTTCTCTGATGAGGGTAAAAAGATAAGAACTTAAGGGGCAGTTTATTACCGAATCCGTTTAACAGAAGCTAGGCCAAATCCTAGTACAGATGGGGGAGGGGTTTATTGAGGTGCCACCTCTAACTCAGAAGCTCCTGGCAACTCATGGGTGGTCCCTGAGTATATAATCTACTCCGGCTTCTGTAGGTGGTCCACACCCATACTCTAATAGGGGGCACTAAGTGGACTCAGTGGGTTTATAAGGAGCAAGGGAACAGTGAGGGAGACAGGAGGAAACAGAAGGGAGTAAATAGGGGATAGATTTGATCAAAGTGTTACATATGCATACATGAAATTCTCAATAAAGAAGGGTGGCTTTGGGCTATAGCTGGGCACTTTCCCACCACAGCTTTGACTGAGTTCACAGCCTTGACTCTGGCAGCAGATCCCAAGCTGACCTTCTATGTTCTCATTAAAGATTAGTACAGGTGTCAAAGAGCTTTTTTTTATGTGCGGTGTGTCAGTTGGGGGATTCATCATATTAGAAATTCAACCTGGAGCTGGGTATGGTGGCTTACCCCTGTAATCCTAACACCTGGAAGACTAAGGCAGGAGGATTGCCTTGAGTTTGAAGCCACTCTGGGCTACATAGTAAGTTCTAGGCCAGTGTAGGTTACAGAGTGAGATATGGTCTTAAAAACAAAAACCCCAAACAACAGCAAAAAAAAAAAAAAAAAAAAAAAAAAAAAAAATTAAAACTGAAATTTAAAGAAACGAGAAACACATATTTGCATAAGTAACATTTTAATGACAAATATGTATAATACTTAACTAAAACAATCAAATAGTACTGTTTTAGATTTCGAAAGGAATATATATGTATATATATACATATATTTATGTCATATATTCACATAGATTTGAGTGTATGTATGTCTATATGTCTCTATTTCTGTTTGTCTGTCTATATTTGAGACGGACATTAAAGAGAGGAAATGCTCTTTACTTCCTGTTCTGTGCATTCTAAGGGTAAATGACTACTACTACCGTTGAGAACTGTTAGAAGCATGTCATAGTACTCTTTCCTTCTCTTTTTCCTTTTAAGCAATGTATGTTTTGGTACACTACATAGCATTTTTCGGTTTCCTTTGTTTTCATTTCTCAGTGTGGCATTAATGTGCTTTCGCTTTTTGTTTTTGAGACAGAGTCTCTCTGTGTAGCCCTGGCTGTCCTGGAACTTACTCTGTAGACCAGGCTGGCCTCGAACTCACAGTGATCCACCTGCCTCTGCCTCCTGAGTGCTGGGATTAAGGGTGTGTGCCACCACCTGCCCTGCTCAGACTTTTGCTTAAATGTGTTTTAGGAGTTTTGTGAGTTGAATTAGTCCTTGTAAAGCACTTGTTGTCGTTGTCTTTAGAAACTATTTCATTCTTTTGTTTTGCTTTCAAGATAGGATCTATGTGTCACATGGCCTAGGCTGACCTCAGGTTTGCAATGCAGCTGAGGATGACCTTGAGTTTCTGATCTTTCCACCTCTGCCTCCTAAGTGCTGACTTCACAGGCATGTACTGTCCTGCCTGTCTTTTTTGCTGTGTTCTTTCTATTGGTAGATAGTAGTCTATGTAGATATAACATAGTTTGCGCTTGTAAGGTCTCCAATTATCTTTATTTTATTATTTATTTATTTTGATTTTTTTTTTTTTTTTTTTTTTTTTTTTGAGACAGGGTTTCTCTGTGTAATAGCGCTGGCTGGCCATCCTGGAACTCACATTGTAGACCAGGCTGGTCTTGAATTCACAGAGGTCCACCTGCCTTTGCAGGAGGTTACCACTACTGCCCAGCTCTTAAACTATCTTTAAGCTTTGCTATTTTAAATGTTCCTTGACTAATTGTATGAGATTTTTTTTCCCTATAGGATGAATTTGTAGAAGTGGGTGTCTTGTCAGAGGTTAAGCATATTTTTAGATTACTAGGGTACTGTGAAATTTCCTTTGAAAATATTGTGGCATTCTGATCTCTGTAATATGCATACATTCTCAGTTCTTTATATCCTTGGTAATACTGAGATTTACTAGTCTTCTGTATTTTATTACTTTTATCTTTTGTACTTTTGCATTCTTGAGACAGGGTTTCTCTGTGTAGCCCTGGGTGTCTAGAAATTCTAGACCAGACTGGACTTGAACTCAGGAGGTATGCCTGCCTCAGATTCCTGAGTGCTGGGACTAAAGGCTAGGAATCTCTTGCATTTTAAATGAAACAATAGTACACCTCTCTCTCTCTCTTTCTCTCTCTCTCTCACTCTCTCTCTCTGTCTGTCTCTTTGTATGTGTAAGCATACTATATGGAGAGCTTCATCTATATTTGTATGATATACATGTATAAATATACTCCCCGCCATCCTCTGGCTTATTGAGACTGGGTTTCTCTGTGTAGTCCTGACTGTCCTGGATCTCACTCTGTAGACCAGGCTGGCCTTGAACTCAGAGATCCATCTGCCTCTGCCTCCCAAGTGCTGGGACTAAAGGTGTGAGCCACCACTGCCCAGTGCATATATACATTTTTAAATAACTTATGTTTATTTTTGTTCTACCACATCAGTCCTGAGGATTGAGCTCCGGTCATCAGGCTTGGTGACCTGAGCCTTTACCAGCTGAGTCATCTCACAGGCCCTATGTACATTCATATATAGATTTTTTTTTTATATAGGTAGGAAATTGATAAGAAAACAAGAGGTTCCAGTTAGAAGACACAATATGAATAAAAAAAAAAAAAAAGAAAATCTACTGCATATTATATGAATCAGTATAGTATAGTATAGAGATATCCTCAAAATTTAAATTAGTCTAAAAAGTATGAAACATGATATGGCTAATACTGGCACTCTTAGTTGGTAATTTCTGAGTAGGTAATGAATGGGGAAAGTGGAGATCGATGGAAATTTTTCTTTAGGGAACCATCTGGTGGTACAAAGCAAGATTAGGGTGGTGTGATGTCTGTTCTTGGTTGTCAGCTTGGCTGTATCTGGACTGAACTACAATTCAGAGATGGAGGGCACATCTGGGATCTGGATCTTGATGCTGGAAGATGTAGGCTTTTGAGTCAGATCTTGAGGTGGGAAGACACACCTTTATTCTGGGCCACTCCTGTCGCGCGCAACCTTTGTCCAGCAGAATCTTTATTGTAGAGCTCTTTACATGCTGATGGAGAAGGACCCCAAGCCCCAAATGCGCACGGCTTAAATAGCCCGCAGGGCGACGTATTCGTCTGTGATTGGTGCTCCGCAAAACGCCCAAATGATATAGCCTCTCTGATAGGGAGAGCTACCATATAGAAATTACCATATAGTAGCGCATGTGCAATTAACATAGCTAATGCTGTAAACAAGAACCAGGAAGCAGGAAGCCAGCGCCATCTTGTAATGGCGAATACGGCTCCCGACACACTCCTTCTGCTGGAAGCCTATATAAGGACAATGGAGGAAGGAAGCTCTTGTTCTTTGCCTGTTTGCCCTTGCCTTGACAGCACATCTATTCCCTTACTGGCATTGGAGCCTACTTCTTCAGGATCTCAGCATATATACAGAGGACCAAATGAGACACCCAGCCTTTTGGGACTGAGCAACTACTAGACTTTCTATTCATAGCTAACCACCGTTGGGTTAGTTTGACTGCAGCTTGTAAGTCATCCGAATAAATTACTTACACACACACACATTCATAAATGAGAGTGTTTCATTAGCCTGGGGTATTTCCTGCTTCAGAGGAAACAGCAGACAGATGCAACAGCAGCAGGAAACAGATGGCAGAAGGAAGATGGAAAGGACCATGTACTTGTGGTGGGCTTTGCAC